CCTCCCTTCAGGGAAGAACTGGGCAGAACTAGAACTTAAATTAACTAGAATTGTTTTGCCATTCAGATGTTCCCCACGACTTCACTTTATTGGCTTAGCCCGACATTGATCAGAGTCAGCTTTAAACTGTTCAGTGCGAAACAGACGCAGCTCTTGACAATCTGATCTGACAACAGGTGCCATAGACGCTGACGCTGTCGTGTGGGAGCAGTGGTGTCCTGATTACACAAATGTGTTAGGATTTCCTGTATGTCTGAATCGAGTTGAGATATACATTCTTCTACGTCCAAACGCTATTTTCTTCCAATGGCCAGATTATTCTGTCAATCAATCAAGCCAGTCATCAGCACTAATATCATAACAGACAGAGTGAAGGAATGGGAAAATAACAGTTTGTTTAACTAAAATATTCAGAAAAACTCCAACATTTTCTCAGATATCTAAAGCAAACATTTTGCATGATCAACATTGTTGAATAAGTCCATTAAAGATAAACAAGATTTGTGAACTTTTTCCAACTGTTTTTTTTTTATTAATTTTGTATTTAGTTTTTATTTTTATGCTTTGACTCTCCTTCTTAATTTCCTACAAAGTTTCCATGACTCTGCAATTAAACAGGTCCAAATATTCAGAGCAGAGACAGTGACTCAGAGATATTAGAGTCAGGGAGGTGGAGGATATCAGTGCATGTATAACTGGAAAACAACCAGCAGAAACATCTAGTAAATACAGGATCAGCAGAGCTCCTCAATCCTACAGTGGAGAAAACAGCAGCAGGGCTAGAAGAGACTATGAGCTAACAGGGTGGAATGATACTTTCAAGGTGTGTTCAAATTAAAGATGAACTTTTTGCCTTGAGCAAACGATTTACATGTATTGTAGAGGGCAGTACAAATGGACTGGACAAATTCCAAACTGACCCCTAAACACAACCCCTATGCACTAATCTCTGCTTTTGGTTTTCCCGCATAGGCTGGGTAGGGTAAGAGGACTGCTCACCCATTAAATCTGCATCAGTGCAGACTCGTTGGAATTTGGTTGTGGAAGAAACACCTTTATTTAAGTGTTAGTTCCACTGGTGTGCCGTATCTCTTTCACATTGACAGAAACCCACAAGTTATGAAAAAGAAAAATACGTTACTATTTCCAAAAGGGGAATTCTTCTTTAAATAGTTACATTTTACCCAATCAATTTATTTTCCAGAAAGGGGCAAATGCTTGAATTCATGTCAACCCAGTGAACAGTTTTTATATGTTTGTTTCGCAAACAATGGAGCTGACAGATTTCATCCAGAGTGCAGCTCAGCACTGACTCAATTTTATTATAACAAACACTTGCTGATTGGCTAATAATGGTTTCATTTAGTAGGCCTACAGGTACTGGGGATTGACTCCTAAGTTATACTTTTTTTTTTTTTTCACTTTTAAGGGATGAGCCTATAGGCCCTCTCTTAGAACCTATTGCTGTTGGGTTAAAGGCAGAGCAGAATGGATTCTATATAAATCTGACCAGAGCAGAAAAAACGTTTTATAACTCAGAGTTAGACATAGACAACTATTTCGTTTTGTATCCCTTTTAGATAGTAATGATAATAAAATTCTAATAATATAGTCCCATTTCTGTAGTTAAACAGAAACAGAAGGGCATGGCATTTTTAAGTTTCCAGATGCTTTGTGTAAAAAAATGACCTAATTTATCTACTTTAAAAATGATATGCAACATGGGACCTGAAGAACGTATATAGAGAGAGTTTTGATAGGGGCACATGAGACTTTGTAGATTATTAATATTGCTTCCCACAAGCAATATATTTTGGATTTTTATTTTTTATCAATTCCTGGCATAGAGAGCATGTGCTGCTCCCATGGGAGCAAATGGGACAGGGACATGAAACATCAGCGACCAAGCAGGTGCATTTTTAGATTATCTGCCAGTCACACACCTATGAGAGATTTCACCTGTTCTGATGGCAGCCTTTATCAAGATTAATAAAAAATTTAACATCACAACGTTAAATTATTTATTAGTCTAGGCAACAATAATATGACAGTAAAAAGCTTCTTTACTGGTGCATTGGCTTCACATTCAATATTAAATGCTATTTTCTACTAAAAGGAAGCATAATATTTTATCTCCTAATTACGTTCAAACTAATATTTTACATGTCAGCCTTATTCAGACGTCAGTTTTAATGTTTTGAATTCACTATGTTGTTCAATTCAATTCAATTCAGTTTATTTATATAGCGCCAAATTCACAACACATGTCATCTCAAGGCACTTTACAGTTCAACCAGATC